TTGTGGATTTGGGGTTCTTGGGGTTTTCATGAGCTGTAAGCCATAATCATCACAATTATGACAAATCACGGCTTGAACTATCTTGCTTTGCATGTAATGAGTCTATCTCATATATTAGTTTCACCTTTTAAGTTGCATTAGTGAAATAAATGAACTTTGCACGATATTCTAATTATTCGAGTTTCACCTGTGTGTGATTTCACCGGCCCTTGTAATCCCTAAAAAACCTTTATACTTCAACATGAAATCCTGTGACATCCGGACGCGGCTTCCCTGTGCCGGTGTGAACGCACCGCACTGTCACACAGCCGACACGGAGCACAGAACTGTTCGGGTGTATCAGTTGGCATGTCGGGGGAGGAGATGAATCTGAGACTTGTGACTAAGAATGAAGTATCCTGGAGAAGAAGAATCGTCCAGTCACGTCGTGTCCTGAGTGCCGGCACAACCACCGATCCTCATGTCTCATGTCCCTGGCACAGCATCACACTACACGCCAATACACAGAACATGCTACACATCTATGAGTACAATGACAACAGCACAGCAGTCCGGGGCACTGACACTTCCAGCACAGCAGTCCGGGACACTGACACTTCTAGCACAGCAGTCCGGGGCACTGACACTTCCAGCAAAGCAGTCCGGGACACTGACACTTCCGGCACAGCAGTCCGGGGCACTGACACTTCCGGCACAGCAGTCCACAGCAGTCCGGGACACTGACACTTCTAGCACAGCAGTCCGGGACACTGACACTTCTAGCACAGCAGTCCGGGACACTGACACTTCTAGCACAGCAGTCCGGGACACTGACACTTCTAGCACAGCAGTCCGGGACACTGACACTTCTAGCACAGCAGTCCGGGACACTGACACTTCTAGCACAGCAGTCCGGGAAGCGCCCATCAGTCCGGGACACTGACACTTCTAGCACAGCAGTCCGGGACACTGACACTTCTAGCACAGCAGTCCGGGACACTTCACTCACACACACACTTGTATGGAACACTCGCAGACTGTCAGCTCCGTGGCTCAGTCAGTTGCCATCGTGACCGGTGTCGCTCCTCACCTGTCCGTCTCCCGGAGCCCCGCTGTTCTCCAGTTGCCTCTCCCTGTACAGAGCCCACAGACCCACGTTGGGCAGGAAGAGCAGGGCGGCCAGCACCAGCCCCACCGCCTGCAGCACCCGCTTCTCCTTCCGCCGCATGGGAAGCCCAGCACCGCTCGCCTCCCCTCTTCACCGACACACTGCACTGACAGCCCGGGGGACCGAGCCAGCCATCCACCGAGCGAACCGCCGGGAGAGGGGGCGAGCACACCAAGCGCGCACCCGCTTACTCCGAGCGCGTCACCGCTACACCCTCGGGCTGGAGACCGAGGAACGCACTGATACCAATGTCCAGGCACTACCGAGCTTGTCCGCAAGAGGGCGCTGCCAGGCGTCCCAACGTGTGCACATTATAATGAGCCGAGCACAACCTGTGGCTGTGCGCTGTGTCTGCCCTGGTGTGGAACTACAAGTCCCAGCAGTGCAGGCAAGGACACAATTAAGGCACACAAAGATTACTGTATCTGTCACATTGCCTTGTGAAGGTCTATCTAATCTTACAGGATCGATTGAAACAGGGAAACGTGAAGGCTTCTAATTCTGCAAATGTTACTGGTCTGACTGTCATGCTGAGCCCCTGGCTTCAATACTCTGAGGTTAGGGTCACACTGTTGTGTGGCGGTGACGCATGCATTTTGGTGCGCCATTCTTCCGCTCTTCAGCATATTCATATGAATAGACTGCCTACTGCAGCACATCGCACCAGAAAACGCCTATGTACTATTATTTGTAACACAGCGCACAGTGTTAGGCCTCATTCACTATATGTGATGTGGGATTCCTGCGAACCTACAAACTCCTGGGGCAGGAATCCCGAATCGCCCCCTTTAGATGCGGCCACTGTTACCCATTCAAGTTAATGACCTGGGGACATCGGCCGCATCTGTAAGTGGCATGTGGTTTGGAATAGATCACTGTCCATAGAAGCAACTATCCTGCATCCAGGGACAGTGATCTATTCCAAACCACCCCCCCCCCCCCCCTCCATGGGGGGGGCCCTAAAAAAAAACCT